GTACCTAAAAAGAAAAATATCACACATTTAGGAAGGTATATAGGTTCGGCCATTTAGGGTTCATGCCTTTAGGAGATGATTTTTAAAGGATGCTTACTTATCATGCTAACACCATCACTTCAACCCTCTCCATGATACTTTAAATAAAATATTAAACATTTAGTGACACACCTAGGTTCGGCCATTTTGAGGTGATACACTTAGGAGGTGATTTTAAAGATGAAAGATGCATGCATGGCTTTATTAGTCCAAGATCTAGTCATATAAATTAGTTAGAGTTCATTCTACTCACTTGAAGGTCATGAGATCTTACCTCAAAGATGATGTCTAAAATATAACTCTAACTAATGCTTCACACTAGATCTTCAAGGAGTCTTCTAGGGTTGAGAGTTGCTTCCAACAACCTCTTGGTTTCTCTCTTACTTGCTTGGCTTGATGAGGAGAAAAATGGTCGAAGCCAAGGGAAGAAGGAGAAGGAATGAGTCCTTTATCTTGTTGCTTGGTGCTTCACGGCCTTAAGGGGAGGAGGAAGCTCTTTGCTTGTTCTTTTATTCAAGCCTTGCAATCATTTCCTTGAGGTATTAGGTTATGACTTGTGAGTGTGGAAGAAGTTATCCACATGCATTGGGGTGAAGGGTACTTGAGTGTAACTTGTGAATGTGGGGGAATTTATCTACATGTATTGGTGGTGAATGGTGTTTGGGTGTGGAGTGTGAGCAATATTTCCTTGTTCTTTGTTGATGGCCGAGTGTGTAAGGATGAGAGGTGATGCATGTGTTCCACTTGGCACTTGACTTAGTTTGGTCTTTTGAGTGAGAGAGAAAATTCCTTGCTTGCCTTAGTTGATGGCCGTGACTTGTGGGAAAGATGGAAGATATTTTCCTAATTTTTAATTCAAATCTATTCATGATAAAGGCACATGATTCAAGGAGGGTTTGAGTGTGAATTTGCACTAGGGTTTCTTGGCTCCTTGAGTGATGTGGCCGTGAGGAGAGAGGAGCTTTGGTCATGTGACTTCCCCTGGTGACCGTGTATGCCTAGGGAGGAAGAAGATTTTACCTTGTAAGATGGCATGCATGGCTTGAGTGTGTAAGAAGAAAGCTTCCTTTTCTTGTAATGAGTGCGTCTTCCAAGGTGTGTAAGGAGAAAATGAGAGTTGCTTTTTGGCTAAAGGAGTTCACATGCATTGGTTAGAGTTGGAGTGTGTCTTACTCAAGTTCTTGCATCACCTTTCTTTGTCTTGTGTAGCGCCTAAGGTGGGAAAAGCAATCTCATCCCCTTTTTCTCTTTGCTAGACCGAGGTGGACATGTGAGGAGGGTGAAATCTTCATTCAAATTGTCCAATCACGTGTTGCCACCTCATCTAGGGTTCATTCTTGAATTGGGTTGGGCTTGGTGAGCGTCTTGGCCCATTAAGTTAATAAGTGTTGGACCATTAGTAATTGGGTCAAGGCTAAGTGGTGTGGGCTTGGATATTTGTTTAGATACTAATTGGGCCATTTCTTATAAAATGGGCTTGCATTGCTTTGGGCTTAAATCCTTTAACTTAGTCATATTCTTAAGTAGGTTGGGCTTTAACTTTATTTGGGCTTTAAACCACATTGGGCTAAGTTATTAATTATCTTATTTAAAGTGGGTTCTAACTTAGGACTAATGTTGCTTATTCAAAGTTACTCGTTCATTGAATATGGGCTTGATCGCTTTTCATTTCATTCCATTAGGCTAATTTCGAGTACATGAATTTTGGGTTATTACATCCACCCTACCTAATAAAATTTTCGTCCCGAAAATTACAACTATTCTAGGTCGGGATACTTCTGTCGGATCTCGTCTTCTCGCTCCCAGGTTGCTTCTTCGGGAGTCCTTCCTTGCCATTGCACCTTCACCATGGGTATTACTTTGCTACGAAGGCGCTTTTCTTCTTTGTCTAAAATCTTGTAGGGTACCGCCGGGATGTTCAGGTTGGGTCTTACTTCCACAGTATCTGGTAATACAACATGAGAGGGATCCGCCAAATACTTCTTTAACTGGCTTACATGGAATACATCGTGGAGATTTACCAGATTGGGTGGTAATGCTAACTGATAGGCTAGGTCCTACCTTTTTCAGAATCTGATAGGGACGGATATAGCGTGGGCTTAACTTCCTTACACCAAGAGCTCTGCCAACACCAGTAACAGGGGAGAGTTTGATGAATACATGATCCCCTACTTCAAATTCTAGGGGTCGGTGCTTCAAGCCATAGTAACTTTTCTGTCGATCTTGGGCTTTTCGCAGCCTGTCGCGGATCATCTTGATCTGTTCCGTCGTTTCTATGATCATGTCTGGTCCGAACAACTCTCTATCGCCAACTTCTTCCCAGCATACAGGTGTGCGACACCTTCTTCCATAGAGTGCTTCGTATGGAGCCATGCCGATACTAGCATGATGACTGTTGTTGTAAGAGAATTCTGCCAATGGCAGATACTGATCCCAACATCCTTCCTTCTCTAAGGCGCAGGCGCGCAACATGTCTTCGAGTGTTTGTATTGTCCTTTCAGTCTGGCCGTCTGTCTAGGGGTAATAAGCTGTGTTCAATCGCAGTTGGGTCCTGAACGCCTGCTGCAATGAAGACCAGAATCGGGATGTAAACTTAGGATCCCGATCACTGATTATGCTTTCAGGAACACCGTGCAACCTTACCTTTCATATAAATCTGAGCCAGCTTCTATGTCGTGTAAGTCCCATTTACCGGTATGAAGTGTGCCGATTTGGTCAGTCTGTCGACCACTACCCAGACGGCATCGTAGCCTGCTTGAGTTCTGGGTAAACTTGTTACGAAGTCCATCGATATGCTCTGCCATTTCCACTTCGGGATGCTCAAGGGTTGAAGGGTGCCTGCCGGTCGCTGATGTTCAATCTTTACTTTCTGGCACACCATGCATTTGCTCACGTACCTTCCCACATCTCTTTTCATTCCTTTCCACCAAAAGTTCTTCTTCAAGAGTGTGTACATTTTGGTGGCTCCTGGTTGTATTGAATATTGACTCTTATGCGCTAGCTCCATGACCTCCTCCATCAGGAGTTTTGTAGGGACCACTATCCTCCCTTGGAAAGTAATTACGCCTTGCTGGTTCAGGCTAACCCCAAATTGGTTCCTCAGTCTCTTCAAGCAGTCGACGGCTTGCTGAGCATGTTTGATCCTTTCTAGTAGCTCGTCTAAGATTTGCACCGCCCAATATTCGGCCTCGCATTCGCTATTTGCCACTGCTAAGTCCAAGTTTTGAAATTCCTCTATCAGTCGATGCTCGGCTATCATCATGCTTGCAACTCCTGTGGTTTTTCTGCTCAAGGCATCTGCGATTACATTCGCCTTGCCGAGATGGTATTGCAATTCGAAGTTGTAGTCCTTTATGAACTCCATCCAACGACGTTGTCTCATGTTCAGCTCCTTTTGATGGAATAAATACTTGAGGCTCTTGTGATCACTGTACACTGTTACAGTTGCGCCGTACAAGTGATGACGCCATATCTTCAAGGCAAACACGATCGCAGCTAACTCCAGATCGTGTGTGGGGTAGTTTTCTTCGTGCGGCTTCAGTTGTCGGGATGCATACGCTACTGGTCTGCCGTATTGCATAAGTACACATCCCAAGCCTATCTTGGAGGCATCACAATATACCTCGAATGGTTCCTCCGAGTCTGGCAACGTCAGTACTGGAGCTGTTGTCAGCATTCTTTTCAACTATTGGAAACAGGCTTCACATTCTTGAGTCCATACGAAGGGGACTTCCTTTCTTGTTAATCGGGTAAGCGGCAATACCCTCTTCGAGAACCCTTCTATGAATCTTCGATAATATCCTGCTAGTCCAAGGAAACTCCTTATCTCTGAGACCGTCTTTGGTCGTTCCTAGTGTACTACTGCTTCGATCTTACTGGGATCCACTGCTACTCCTTTATCTGAAATTATGTGTCCAAGAAATTGGATCTCTGGCAACCAGAACTCGCACTTCGACGGTTTCGCATATAGTTGTTTCTCTCACAATACTTGTAGAACAATTCTCAAGTGTTCTGCATGCTCCTCTTTGCTCTTCGAGTATATTAGTATGTCGTCGATGAATACGACCACAAATTGATCCAAGTAAGGTTGGAAAATCTGATTCATGTACCCCATGAATACTGTCGGGGCATTGGTCAATCCGAAGGGAATGACTAGGTACTCGTAGTGTCCGTATCTAGATCTGAAGGCTGTCTTAGGGATGTCTTCCGGCCTGATCCGGATCTGATGGTATCCTGATCGGAGGTCGATCTTTGACAACACCTTCGCACCTCTTAACTGATCAATTAAGTCTTCGATACGAGGCAAGGGGTACCTGTTCTTGACAGTCACTTTGTTGAGTTGCCGATAGTCCGTGCAAAGTCTCATCGATCTGTCCTTCTTCTTTACAAGTAGAACTGGTGCTCCCCACGGGGATACACTGGGTCAGATAAAATTCTTCCCTAGTAGGTCTTCTAGCTGCTTCTTCAATTCTACCAATTCAAGGGGAGACATACGGTAGGGTGCAATTGAGATTGGTCCAGTCCCGAGAATAAGTTCAATAGAAAACTCCACTTCCCTTTCAGGGGGAAAGATGGTAATGTCGTCAAGAAATACATCCTCGAATTCTTTGACCACGGGAATGTTCATCAACGGTGTCTCGCTCGCACCTACTAGACCGGCTATTAGCATGAAAATGCAATCTCTTGATTCGACCGGTGGAGTATTGGGGAGTGGGGTCTCCATCATGTCCCCGCCGACTATTATATTTCGGCTGCTACAATCAATTACTACGTGCTACTTGGCCAGCCAATCCATACCCAATATCAGGTTTAGTTTGGCTAAGGGGAGGATTATGAAGTCTTGGTTGTACTTCTTTCCTTTATATCTGAATTCTACATTTTTACATGCGAAGTGAGACATTGTCACTTCCCCCGTCGCAGAGGTAACTTGCATTGGGGATTGCATTGGGCTCATGGTTAAGTTAAAAGGCTTTTGCCACATAGTCGGCAATGAAGGAATTGGTTGCTCCAGAGTCAAATAACACAGATAGTTCCTCACCACATATATTAATCGTACCTTTAACTAGTTCGGCCGCCCGGTTCGCCACATGTTGGTCCAGCGTGTAGACTCTGCCCACTCTTGGCGTCTCTATTGCTGGATGGGGTTCCCTCCATTGTGGACAGTCCTTGATGAAGTGTCCATCTTGGCCGCACTTGAAGCATTTCATCGAACCACTCAAACAGTTGCCGAAATGTGCCTTCCCATATCTGGGACAATTGGGAGCCCTGTTGCCATTTCCTCGAGGATTCCCGGGCCTCTTGAACTTGTTATCATCACGCCTGGGCTGCCATGGTCTGCCTCCGCTCTTCCCTCTCCATGGTCTGTTCCTAGTCATTGGAGCTCTGTGTCCGGATCCGCTGGTCTCCGTGGGCTTCCTTGTTTGCAAACCGACCGCCTCCAACTTTCTACATCGGTGTACTAAGGTGGCCATATCACAGATGTCGTTGCCAGCTACCAATTCGGCAATCCTAGCGGACATACCCCTTTGAAATTTTGCCGCCAGAAAATACGGCATGGGCATTGTTCCTCGGTAAGGGAGTTAGAGAATAATCTTTTTTCCAAAGCTCAGAAAATGCTTTGATACCATAAAAATTTAACACCCTAAATATATCCTCATCAAAGGTGTAACATTGCTTGACATTCAATGCGCGGAATCCATGTACTTAAGCGTGGTTAACTTAAAATTTACTAATGGGAATTAATTTCGTTCTTTTCCCTAACTTATCTATTCCTCTAATCATGAGTTTCTCTTTTGCTTTGTCTACGGTCTACTTACAAGTTAATTTCTTTTTGGTTACCCTGCTCATACTTATGCGCTATTTAGGGGCTCACTTACATGATCATAATTTTAGTTTTGATTACTACTAAGTAGGTAGTTACTTAAGTGTCTTATGCGGATAGTAACTTATGTTACTTAATCTTTCCTACTAATTTCATAGTCCATAAAACATAAACATCCAAAATATTGTACTTCAAACAAATATAGAATGTTCAAAATAGTCTAAGTGGCATAGTCTATTACAGTCATCCAAATTATAATCTTTGGTGCATCTTTAGTAAGGTGAACCCTCAATCCATAGGGATTCCATTTCCTGATCCATAATATAGTTTGCCAGCTCCCACTTTCCTTCAAATATTAGATCAAAAACTCTATCTAAAAGGGATGGTGTATTATCAACTTTATCTGCATATGGCTGCGCAGGTTCCTCTTCAATTTGCACCAACCTCTTTCCCTGCCTTACCCATTTGGTCATTTTTACCTGAAAGGGGATTTCCCAAAGGGGGGTGAGATTGGGGATCTCAGTAAGGACTCACAGTTGGAGCAACCTCCAAACCATGATGCTTACTCCTGCAATAGTCACATAATAACATGTACAATAATAGAATGGCAAAACATTTGAAGCATAGTTTGGAAAATAATCATGCTTTCATATCATCATACCAATCCTGCCATGGCAATTACTCTCCATGGTCTTATGGACGAATACCTAGGGTCCTCGTCAGGTTGCCTCTGTGGTATTAGTGCACAGGTCATCTTACAAAACTTACATGAATAAACATTAGTTCCAAACAACCAAGCATATCATGTAATGCATCATATAACATATTGCAGTCAAACCTCACTTTAACATAAAGGGGTGGCAACCATAGGGTAGCCGCTTCAACAACCATAAATCACTTACACAATAGTCTTGTCTTATCACTTCCCAAGAGTTCAGAGGGGTTCTTGGTCCTTGCTTGTTCCTTTGGTTTGGCCTAGTAACATAATCATCCTTAGTACATATTCATAAGATCTAACTTGGTTTTCTTCTTGATATAGATTCTGCCCTTTTAAACAAAATACCTAGGAGATGATTTTTCATTAATGGCTTTCATGTATAGGTCCTATTTTTATTATACATTTCGGCCATACATCATAATACCAAGAAAACATTCACAAATTTCTCTCCTAGGCCCATTAGGGTTCGGCCTTTTAGGGTCATACACTTAAAGGAAAATTTTAATATCATGTTCATGGGTTTAATGCTCACATAAAATGATAGATCCTTAAATCAAACCTTGGACAATACTTTTCTATACATTAAATTCGGTCATTTAGGGTTAAGGTCATAAAAAGGAGATTTTTCAAATGCTACTTTCATACACATCATGCTAACACTTTCCATGGTACCTAAAAAGAAAAATATCACACATTTAGGAAGGTATATAGGTTCGGCCATTTAGGGTTAATGCCTTTAGGAGATGATTTTTAAAGGATGCTTACTTATCATGCTAACACCATCACTTCAACCCTCTCCATGATACTTTAAAGAAAATATTAAACATTTAGTGACACGCCTAGGTTCGGCCATTTTGAGGTGATACACTTAGGAGGTGATTTTAAAGATGAAAGATGCATGCATGGCTTTATTAGTCCAAGATCTAGTCATATAAATTAGTTAGAGTTCATTCTACTCACTTGAAGGGATGAAGAGCTCATGAGATCTTACCTCAAAGATGATGTCTAAAATATAACTCTAACTAATGCTTCACACTTGATCTTCAAGGAGTCTTCTAGGGTTGAGAGTTGCTTCCAACAACCTCTTGGTTTCTCTCTTACTTGCTTGGCTTGATGAGGAGAGAAATGGCCGAAGCCAAGGGAAGAAGGAGAAGGAATGAGTCCTTTATCTTGTTGCTTGGTGCTTCACGGCCTTAGGGGGAGGAGGAAGCTCTTTGCTTGTTCTTTTATTCAAGCCTTGCAATCATTTCCTTGAGGTATTAGGTTATGACTTGTGAGTGTGGAGGAAGCTATCTACATGCATTGGGGTGAAGGGTACTTTAGTGTTACTTGTGAATGTGGGGGAAGTTATCTACATGCATTGGTGGTGAATGGTGTTTGGGTGTGGAATGTGAGCAATCTTTCCTTGTTCTTTGTATATGGCCGAGTGTGTAAGGATGAGAGGTGATGCATGTGTTCCACTTGGCACTTGACTTAGTTTGGTCTTTTGAGTGAGAGAGAAAATTCCTTGCTTGCCTTAGTTGATGGTCGTGACTTGTGGGAAAGATGGAAGATATTTTCCTAATTTTTAATTCAAATCTATTCATGATAAAGGCACATGATTCAAGGAGGGTTTGAGTGTGAATTTGCACTAGGGTTTCTTGGCTCCTTGAGTGATGTGGCCGTGAGGAGAGAGGAGCTTTGGTCATGTGACTTCCCTTGGTGACCGTGTATGCCTAGGGAGGAGGAAGATTTGACCTTGTAAGATGGCATGCATGGCTTGAGTGTGTAAGAAGAAAGCTTCCTTTTCTTGTAATGAGTGCGCCCTCCAAGGTGTGTAAGGAGAAAATGAGAGTTGCTTTTTGGCTAAAGTAGTTCACATGCATTGGTTAGAGTTGGAGTGTGTCTTACTCAATTTCTTGCATCACCTTTAGGGAATTGTTCCTATGCAAGATGACTGAAGGCATGTGTTTTAACCGCCATGTACTGAAGATGATAGCGCTCATTGAGAAGCTAGAGGGTCTAGGGTTCACAATGGATGCTGAATTAATTAATGACTTAGTTCTATCATCACTTCCTCCTTCTTTTAGTGAATTCATAATGAATTACAACATGCATGGGATACTTGTGAGCTTGCTAGAGTTGTTAAGTATGTTAACAACTGCTGAAATGTCTATCAAGAAGGATGAGACACAAGCTCTTGTTATTGGTGGGCCTAAAAGGGTCAAGGGTATGGGCAAGGAGCCTGCAAAAGGTAACTCCCTTAAGCCCAAAGGAAAATCCAATAAGAAAAAGGGCAAAGAGAAAGGTAAGAGTGCACCCAAGGACAAAAACGATGTTGTATGCTTCCATTGTGGCAAGAATAGCCATTGGAAGAAGAATTGTCCAGACTACCTGAAGAGTGTGAAGGAGCATGGTGATGCTTCTACCTCAGGTATTTACATAGTTGAGATAAATTATTCTTGTGCTAATCCGACTTCATGGGTATTGGATACCGGTTGTGGTTCTTATAATCTGAAATGTGATTGCAGGTGCTTAGGAGCCCTAGAAGATTGGAGAAGAACGAGGTGGACCTCCGCGTTGGTGATGGAGCAAGAGTTGCTGCTCATGCTTGTGGAGATACCGACCTCATTAGCCTACGAGCCTCTTATTGCATTTTAATAATTGTCTTTATGTTTCCGGCATTTCTAGAAACATTATTTCTATTTCTTGTTTAGAACAAGATGGTTTTTCTTTCTCTATTAGGGACGGTACATTTTCTATCATTTTGAGTGATATTATTTTTGGTACTGCTTCTTTAATAAATGGCTTGTATGTTTTGGAAATGGGAACTGAAGTGCTCAATGTAGATGTGAAATGACCTAGGATAGATAATCAATCCTATCTTTGGCATTATAGACTGGGCACATAAATGAAACAAGATTGTCTAGGATGCATAGAGATGGATACCTAGATTCCAAGGACTTGGAATCCTATGGACAATGTGAATCTTGTCTAGCTGGGAAAATGATTCATCAAAAGCCCAATGGGCTTGATATTCATAGGGCTAGTGAGTTATTAGAACTCATTCACTCTGATGTATGTGGCCCAATGTCTATTGAGGCTAGAGGAGGATACTCCTATTTCATTACCTTTACTGATGAAGTAGAGAAACAGCATGGCAAGATGATTAAGTCATTGCGATCAGATCATGGTGGTGAATATCTGAGCCATGAGTTTCAGGATTATCTAAGAGAAAATGGAATTCTCTCGCAGTTTACTGCACTTTACACACCACACCAAAATGGTGTCTTCGAAAGGAGAAACAAGACCTTGTTAGACATGGTTAGGTCTATGATGAGTGAGACTCAACTTCCAAAAACATTTTGGGGATATGCCTTAGACACAGCGGCATACCTTCTAAATAGGGTACCGTCTAAATCTGTTCAGACCACACCATATAAGATATGGAACGGTAAGAGACCCAACCTGAGTTACCTCAGCGTATCGGGATCGCCAGCTTATGTCAAAGCGTTGGCATCAGAGAAGCTTAGTGCTAAGAGTACTAAATGTCTGTTTGTGGGATATCCCAAAGGTACTAAAGGATACTACTTTTACTCCATGGATGAACACAAGGTGTTTGTGTCAAAGAATTCTGACTTCCTTGAGAAGGATTTGATCTATCAAGGAGCCAGTGGGAGTAAGATTAATCTTGAAGAAGTTCAAGAACCACATGAACAGATTGAGGAACCCGAGTCTGCTCCGCAGGCGACGTTCTCCAATGGAGAAGTAAACACACAACTCTGTAGGTCAACAAAGGTCATCCATCCACTTGAGAGGTATGGGTTTGTGATTGAGAATCAGCAAACCGTCGAGGATGATGAACCAAGTAACTACGAAGAGTCAGTCAAGGATGTTGACTCTTCTAGATGGCTCGGAGCCATGGAATCTGAAATGGATTCGATGTATCAAAACAAGGTTTAACCTTGATTCCTAAACCGCAAGGAATAGTTCCTATCGGTAACAAATGGGTCTTTAAAAGAAAGACTGATGCAGAT